CAGAGGTGGTATTCAGCAGGTTCTGACCAGTTCTGTTCTATTCGGAAATTCTGAATAGTTCGGAGAACCGGCAAATACCACCCCTGACTAGAGATTTTACAGTATCCTTCCCCTGCCATGCCCACTAAGCCATGCCCACAGAACCAGTAGTAGAAAAAAATTGAATTCCACCACTGAACAGTAGAAAGCAGATGCTACTTGTGCTACTATTCTTTTTGAATCATCAAACTGAACATTGCCTCTTAAAATAAAATCTATTCTGTGTTTGTAAAAACAAATTGTATCAAATTATAAGGCTACCGCATTCCAGTGTTTAATTTGTATAAATAAAATGAGGGTGTTACTTGATTCATATAACATTTTATATATTACTTTTCTAATATATAAGCATCACTCAGGACAGCTAGTAACATTAAAACGATAGGAAGGCTGAAAAAGAAAGCAAGAAAATGAAGTGTTTTGGTTTTAAATAGCATTTCAGCTACTGGAAGTATCCCTTATCCTGCATAGGAAACCATACTGTTTTCTGGAATAATGACTGTTTTGTTGAATTTAATTAGATTCTCTACACTCAAATTTTCAGAATAGGACTCTTCTGAACATAGAGAGGTAGATACAACATTTAGGTCATTTAAAGTTAGATCCTCATAGAATTCCTAATGTTCTCTCCTACTCTTCAGTGTTTTATATCTGTATGGAAAATCCAAACAATGAATATACTCAATAGCTATATTTCTATATTATAGCTAGAATATGTTCAAGAAAACAGAAAATTGCAATTAATATTATATGAACTTAAGAATCATTCTGGATCACTCTGGCATCCTATTTTTACATTCACCAGGCAGATGCCATGGTAAGACTAGTAGCACACTAAAACGTCTTTTCTTACATTCCTCAGCAAATGAAAGACATATTCTCTATGACACTGGAGGTGATATATAATTATTATGATGAATTGTCATGCATAACTAGTTGGAATGTTCTGAACAGAAGTTTTCTAAATATGCCATAATTTTTGAAAATATTTTTTAGGAATAGAGTTGCAAAATGAAAATGCCTGTTCTGGACAATTTTACTGTTGCTTTCTGGCAAACCATTTTAAAAAGTGAGGATGCTTTCCAAAGAAGCATTTACATTTCATTGTTTTTTTTAAAAAATGAAGTCAGACATTCTATTAAGCATACTTAAAATCAATTGTTACATCTCAGCCAACCCTGCACCACTGAATGCCAGCTCTAATTTTAAATTAGAATTCTATATCTGTGATATTCTGAAACTCTGACAAAATGTTTGTGTGTGTAATGTGTGTGTGGTGTGTTATGTTATTCCCTTTTGCAATGTTATGTTTGTTATGTTATTTAAAGCACAGAAACAAAATGGTAAGCCATAAAGATCCGAGATAAGAAAAGGAAACAGCGCTAGATCAACTGTATATCCACTTAGTTCAAAGCACTTCATTATCTTCTTATCCTTGCAAACCATCCATGCTGTCACCACATCACTTCATATGTGGCTCTTTATTCTTTAAATTTCTCACCTCCCTATCTTTGTGGATCTCATTCATTTTCATCCAGCTACAGTTTTCCCCATGGTTCAACAAAGTCATTCTTACTTCCTATCTCTGTTTTTGAAAGGACTTCAAGATAGGAAAGAAAGAAGTGAGCTGTTAAAGGAGGACCTGCAGAAAAGATTGCAAGCTCTGAGAAATAGGGAAGACGTAAGCCCATCTTGATTATTTTTAGTATAAATTGGGACTGGGGAAAACTTTCAAGATTCTGTTATTCCATCTGGCTACAATAAATAGTGTTCCTGGAATTGTTCCTGCAGTGCCTATTTCTTGACTTGCCTACCTTGGAGGGCTAATAGTTTTGCAATTTGATCTACTTTTTCTTTTCTATCCAAACCGTTACAACGATTTTTTTCTGTCCTGCTTGCTTACTTTTGTATTGAATGTATCACTTCAGTATCCATTTATTACTGACCCTGTTTTCCGCCTCTTCAGCCCTTTTTAAATAATCTATTCCACTTTCACCCACTTCAATGATTTTTTTCTAATTTTTATTTTAAATGATATAATCCGTTCTCACTTCTATGTAATAAAACTATGCTTGTTTTTATTTATTGTTTACAACAACCATATGCTATTCATTACTTTTTTAAACCAAAGTTTCCATTTTAATCAATATGCTGCCAAAGCAGAGTCATATATTACACAAAGTCATATACTTATTCTATTTTTTTATCATTTATATATAAATGACAATCATTCATTCCATTTTCCCTGCCAAACACCACCACCTGCAAATTTATGTATTTAATACATAAATGTTCAGATTCATGCTTTTTAATGATACAATCTATCAACATTTACTGCAAGTTATTTGGATTTTCAGCCAACAATACATCCTTAATACAGAATAGTACGCACACATTCACATCACTCATCAACAAACCTCTAACACCAACATAGGCATTCCTTGTAAATCTATTCTGAGCTATGGCTGATGTTGTAAACCACTTAGAAAGGGTTGTAAAGATCTGTGAAGCAGTATATAAGTCTAAGTGCTAGTGCTGTTGCTATTCATAAATGGGACAAACCAAGGGAACTTCTGGTATCCATGTCTTACTGCCTTCTCACTGTTTGTCCATTGCTCAGTATTCCATTTATTATCACACATACTTCAAAACAATTTACTTTCTCTGGATCAACAACCATACAACCAATTTTCTTTTTCTTATACATACATTTCCCAATAATTAAACAAAAACTTAGTTTTTGCATTTTTCACTGCATTTCCCTTATTTTGCTGCAACCTTTTGTATGTTTTTGATCAGATAGCTTCCTATTGGCATAAATTAATTCGCCATAGTTCTTGCAATTATTATTGTTAGATGCATTCTGGTAGAGATGCAAACTTCCTACACATATTAAACTAGCTGCAAAGCTGTTCCATATACAAAGCACATCCAACTTTTAACATTTGTCCAGTGGTACCATCTACGTTTGTACTTTTAAGTCTTTTTAACACTGTAACTGATTTATTTCTTCTTGGATTCTATAATTTATACTATTTGTTTCAATTCCTCTCTTGATATATATTACTATTAGTCCCCTACAAATCTATAAAATACTTATTTCAGCAATCACTCATTTCAGCTTTATCTTGAATTATTTAATCACTTTTAGTTTTGATTCCATTCATTCTGGTAGACTTCCATGTTTAATCTTTTTCACCCATTTCCAAAATGATTTCCATAAAAGTCACTGTAAATTCTTTGCTTCTTTTAAACACTGTTCTACTTAGTTGCATTCTTTGTAAACTTCTTTTTTTTCTATATATTATGCAGTATTTTACTCCACAGCACCATTTTCTTGAATGCTCTTTCCCCATCCATAGCTTCTTCCATTTCATCTTTCCAAAAGCATCCTACTTTCCATCAGCATAACTTTACATGCTTCTGTGCCACTCTGTAACATAATATTTTTCACTATATTTAAAGCAACTTCCACATTTTTCTTCCTTATACCTACTTTCTATTTGTTCTGTTGAAAGCTTATCTGATTAGTACTGTTCATATAGGACTTGTAATTTCTCTTTCTGCAACTGTTTCACTTCAGCTTCTTTCATTTCTTTCCCTTTTCTTCCATTCCCGTTTTCCCCTAAAATTGGCGCTATCATATAAAAATCTATCCCACATACAGAAACTTTCCATCTTTCACTAATTCTCTCACTGGAGACTATTAATTAGTCATACTTTTATATGTATTCTCTTCCCATAGATCTAAATAGCAGACCTAGACAGGTTGCTTGCCAATTGTCTCATTTGCATCTGTTTGAAGTTATGACAGTATTGAAAAAATACAACCAATGTCACATTCATGACATGTGCAGTGTCCCTCAGTCACATGTTCACCATTCTAGTCAGTACACAATGTCTTGTGTCTGAACTATTATTTTCCTTTTCCTTTCTTTGCAGAGTAGAGAGATCCGAGAGAAAAAGATTACAGGGGAGTAAGCAGACAAACGATGGGTAATGTACTGGGCTATTATCATATCATACTTGCAATTGCTAGTGCCACCACATTGCTTTTGATATGTATGCCCCATTGTGTGCCTACTTGCTCTATTACAATCCCTTCCTCTTCAATGAATGTAAATACAAACTTTAATTCCCTTCTTGCTAATAATTCCAATGCCAGGGTGAGCACTACAAAGGGCACGGAGTAGTTAGGAGGCAAACAAAAGCCATTAGTGTGAACTGATTGGTATTCTCAGTTTCAATCCATAAAGGATAATCAGGGTTATATTTTTTTTTACTTAGTGACTACTTTGCTTAGTGATGGAGTTTCCAGTCCCAACTATGTTGCTAAACAAAGATTATCTGCACTTAAACTGTGCACGCTAAAGAGTCCACCTCATTCATTCTGATTTAGTTTTATAAAAAAAAAGTGCTTACCGTTACACAATAAGTAGAGCACAAATATGCATAAGCTCAAGATTAGAAGCTTGGCTGGGAAATACACATACTACATTAGCCCTTAGTGACTTGCAAGGATAGTTTGGAGATGGTTAATAAAGAATTCACTTTAGTTTTATGGTTAGACATTAAAATATTTTATGCTGTAAAAATGGAGGTTCATATCAACTTGAAACTTGCTCTTTCTTATACCACATATAGTAATGGTATTATTATCCTTGCTATCAGTAGTCATCAGAGAATGGAGAAGAAAAGGAAAGAAGTATCTAATAAAGTCCTCAAGTTTAAAACAAAAGAAATTAAACAAAAATATTTGCACTGGCTCATCAAACTCGGACAAAGCATAAAAAACTGTTAAATAGAATCTCTGGACTTTCATGTATTTTAAGATTTGGTCATTTATAGTGCTCAAACAGCTTTAGCTCAAAATACCAATTACAGAAAAAACTGCCAATCCCTGTACTTGAAACTTAAATGCCAGCTAAATAATTATTTCAACGAGTAATAAATGTTTTTACCATATTCACCAAAACGAAGAGATTCCCACTGCTGTCGTTCAACAACACTGCTTACTGCTCGGACACCAGCATAAATTACCAGCATTCCTAAAGTAGCGTCTAGCAGAAAATTGATAAGGTATCTGAAGGGATGAGAAAAACATACACAAATTTACAGGTTGCTTTTTAAAACTGTGTAGCTTTGATGATTGAAATCTTCATCTACCAATATTTATTTTCATACACTCCCATTTTCCAGTCTGAGCAATCAAAACATCTTAATAATAACAACAATAATGGCACTTCTATGTACACAGGTAAAGAACCTCAATTTTAGTATAGAATTAGAAGGTAACCTACAGCATATTATTCTTGCAGGTCATTCATACAGTTTTGGTAGTAGGATCAGCTACTAAGGGTTTTTAATATATACTTCATAAAGTTATAAAATTGAGACAACGAAAAAAGGAGATGGCCTAATTGAAAAAGGAAGTCAATATGAGCATTTTCCTTTTAATATAAAAACTGTAGCTTCTAATACACAAACAGATATTATTCTCTGCCTCATTTAAACCAGAAGCAATAATATTTTTAAACACAATTTTTAGCATAGCATGGATACACAGAGAGGAAAATGTGACATACTCATTAGCATGTTGCAGTAGGGTCAGCACAACCTAGATTCAAAACCCTGCTCACCCATAAAGCTGATTAGATAACCTACCACGTGGAGCAGCTGCATGAGTAAAAATTGGAGAGGAAACTGCACCACCACCTTGAGCTCTTTTGAGAAACAGCAGTTTAAACTACCACAACCAAAATTTCTGTTTAATTAATTTGCAAATGCTTGAGTACATAAAATATAGCACCAAAGAAAAATGCAGTGCTTTATTTTTCTTTAAAAAATGTAATTAGGATATGAAAGCCTATAAACAAGACTGAGTAGCTAGAATAATTTGAGCAATTATTACATGTAAAAGCCAGCAGAGGTCACTGTTGCTTCAGAAAATACAAAAGTGGACAATTGCTCTATAGTTGGCATGTTAGTCAGTTTTTGTGGCATTGTTTATGCCACTTGACAATGGAATGTAGTATACTGTTTAATTTTAATTTATTCATCAATTACAGCACCAAAGCAATAGCATGATGCTTTTCTGTAGATATTCTATCAACTTGATTTGAAGGTCAGGCTAAATATAAATGGTAAAAGCTCTCTTGAGTCTGGACAATTTTATCTTAGCAAAAATATGGATACAGATTTCCACTAACTTCATCTGAGATTTTTTTTTTTTATTTTCCAATCTTTGGAATTCCAATCTCTACTTTCCAAGTCTTGGGTTTTTTTTTAATGAACCCCCATCAAAGAACCAACCAGATATAACCTTGTTCATCTTTAGTTTTAATAAAATTAGTTAAGTTTAGCTAAAAATTGCCAACTATCACAGGTATCAAGCTACTTGCTATATTTCAGAGTCTGGAGGCTCTTAAATTCAATAAAGCAGTGCTCCGGCAGCCCAAAACATCACCCAGAGAAATGAAGGAAAAGTTGATTTTGGGATATGAAAAGAAAAATGTATAACAGCCAAGGAACCAGGAGAAAAGTCCTAAAAGTCTTTCCAGAGGGCACTAGTCAATTTTCCACCATGACTACAAAAGTGCGTCTTCAACACTCAAGAGGAGATATTTTTGATCCCATATCAGGTTTAGCCAGTACTTTTATGGTAACATTATGCTGATTTTGAAAAATAAAACTTGATGCAAATCTTGGCATTCTTGTTGGCTCAACTTCAGGAAGATTTTTCTCCACTTACAGTGAACAGGGATCCTCTTCAGTAAGGTCTGATAAATATACATTGGCAAAATGGATGAACATCATCCCTATGGCTTGTTTGGAAGTATCCAAAAACCTACAAAATTAAGTTTTAGACATCAAATTGAATAATTGACTGCATATTTTAATTTATATAGTTATAATTTATATTTCATGAACCTCCCCCTCATCCACAAACATGGCTGACATTATAGTTTTATTACAGAATAAGGGCAAGAAGAGTTATGGAGTTTCAGGTTTAGCTATGAGAGAGCAAAATACTGATATTAAAATTGCAAAGCGTTTAATGGCTTTTTGGAATCAAGACAAATTTCTCTTTAAATATTATTCACTTCTGAAATCATGCAAATTTCTCGATTGAGTGAAAGGACTAGCATCATTACACCACAACAGCCATTGACAGTAATCAAACATTTGAATAAAATATACTTCTCATTGTTCTAGAATACGGGCCAATTTAAATGGGACTAAAGCCTATTTTTAACAAATGTACTGAACATGGGTAAAATAATAAGTGTACCATATAGGTACACTTTATTTTCTCAACTGACACCCACAAGACCAGAATCTTCAGTTACTGAGTGAAGCAGACATTAAGTGAGGTGTCACATGACTGCTTTGTTCAAACCTCTTGGTTGCAGTCATTAAGCAATCTCCTAGGTCAAGGGAGTCAAACGTGTGTCATCACGGCGGCCTCACATGACATATCAGGACTTTCCCCCCACTTCACTAAACTGGGCGGGAGTGAGGCCAGCACCTGATGCATCCGGCCCATGGGCCACGAGTTTGACACCACTCTCCTAGGCCATTAAGTGAATGGAGTAAAAGGGATTCAGCCCTACACAGGACCATAAACCTTTGGGAGGCAGCCCTTTCGCTGTCAAAGAAGCTGGCTAAAAAAGTTTTGTTCTGAAATCCAAGTAGGACTGGCATGGAGAATTTGCAGCCAGCCCCCAGAGAAAGAGAAGCCCCTCTGGTTTCTGGGGGGCTGGTTGCCAACTCCTCATGCTGCAAGCATTGTGCGAAGATCCTGCTTGGATTTCAGCATGGACCTTTTACAGGAAGGATTTCAATATGGACGTTTTACAGTCAGAGGCAGTTCTTTCAGTGGTGACCTTCCCTTCTGGCTTCTCCACTGACTTTTTGGGAAAGCTGGCAGGGAAGACTGAAAATGGCCATCACATGATAGTGGGAACCTGGGCAACCAGTCATACATGCAAAAGAATTTCCCTTCAGGCATACATTGCAAATCCTTTCATTTAGTGCCCTTCTGATTTTGAATGGTCACTCCATACTACTTGAATGGAAGTTCTCTTGGAGCTTATGCTTCAAAAGCTTGTTGTAGAATTGCTACCAGGAAAAATTATGAAGTTTTATTTTTTATTAAATAAACATATATGCTTTAGGTTTAGCAATAAAGAGCATTACTGTAATATGGAAAGTAATGACACTTTCAATTGCCTTTTGGAAGCAAGACAATTAAAAAAATATTGTTGTAAATAGATGACTGAACAAAAAGTGGAATCTATATTGCCAATAACATAATCTATTACTTACAGAGTATAACTGGCTACTCCTATATTTTAGCAAGATCTCCTCCTTTACAAAAGATAGAATGAAGACTTAATATTTATATAAATCATTGTCATATTACATCTTTTATAATTAATTACTCCCAGCTTGCAAAAACAGTAGACATTTACCAAATTCTCCAAGGACGTCTTTCATGCTTTGGTTCTCTGAAGCGTTTCACTGAAAGAAAATTAGCAACTATTAGTAGGCTATCAACTATTCTTCCACCCAGATGAAATCTATATGCAATGGTTGTATATTCCACTATTGCAGATTGGAGTCTAAGGTTTAAGGATATATTTGTAAAATGATATGGTATTCAGTACCAAGATTCTCTGTTAGTAATTAAACCCAGGTATGTTATTGTTAATGCACACTTTCTTTCACCCTTGTCTCTTACAATCTACAATTCAATAAACAGAATCACTTTAAAACCAGTCCCATGGCTCATTTAGGGTAGGGTAAGACATTAATCATTCTATTAAAAGAAATGAAAAATTTTATGCAACTGAAAACAGCTAAGAAAACTATTTAAAACAAATTGGCAATAAATACAATTGAAGGTCATAAGAAAAATCGAAGCAAACAATTAGCAGTGTCTTATTGTTTCAACTAATGTGACCGTTGTGAGCAATTTGATCTTTAAAGCCAATACCTGACCTAGTAAAAAAAAGCACTCAATCCACTTTCCACCTGCATGATTCTAAAGAAACAGAAGTAGGTTCTAATGTATTTTTTTACTAGTTCAGAAATAACACTAAAGAGACTTTATTTATCAAAAACAAAAATTCAGTGATTGACCTGTTCATACATTTTGGCAAGTATTAACAGGAAGATAGGTTGTTTCCAATTAGCAAGTTTTTAGGGCAGAATTATAGAGACAAAGTCACGTAATTAAATCACAAATGCAAATAATAGATTCAGTAGGTTGGATACAAATGGAAAAAACATACATGAAGCGATAATACCTATAAGATACACACACGTGCACACACACACACACACACTTCTCCCATTCAATCATTTTCAGTTCTCCATGTCAGGTTCCTGCAGTTTTCTTTGCAGGGTTTTCCAGAAGTGGTTTGCCATTTCTCCTTCCTAGGGCTGACAGAAGGTGGCTTCTCCAAGACCACCAGGTGAATTTATGCTTAAGGCGGGACAAGTCTCTCAGTTCCTAGGTGGATGCCTTAATCGTTACTGTACACCAAACTGGCTCTCACAGAAATGCAGTTCAAACAGCACTTTCAAGAATATCAACGATGCATTCTGAAAATGCATTCTGAACTGCTTGACAAAATGCAAGATAACTTATAAATAAAAGGGTATGAAGAAAAGAAAAAAATTAAATAAAACTATGGAAGGTCTCCTTACTTATGTATCCATGCTTGGGAAGAAAGTAGATTTATCTAATATCTCCCAGTCATTCATCTCGGTTAATATTTACAATGATAGTCCAAAATAAAGCCATTTTATTCTGTATTCTTCAGATTGCCCCTTACATCGTCCAAATTCTTGCAGTCTTGATTGTTCTCTCATCTATTAGTCACAAAGATCAAATAGAGCAGGGGTGTCAAACTTGCATCATGTGACATATCGGGACTTTTCCCCCCTTCACTAAACTGGGTGTGGGCGTGGCTAGTGCATGAAGCATCTGGCCTGTGGGCCCGCGTTTGACAGCCCTGAAATAGAGGATTGACATTCACTTCATTATGACTGGAGCACCCATGATTCTTATTATCAGGGAAAAAAGTTTAAATATGTAAGTATTATATCCAGCCTCTTGCCTTATTATTTCCACATTATAGTCCATATATTTGAAAGAAAAAAAATTACTTAGAACTAATTCCCCTCAGCAAATTCTGAAACACCTTTTCCCTTAAATCTAAAAGCTTCATAACCAGTTTAAGTTTGAAAGGGTTTTAACAATAGCAATAAACCAATCTTTCAACCTTAGAAAATGAGCATTGTAATGGATTGGCCTTTTGCCAATATTTTAGCATTGCACTTTACCTGTTGTAACAAGTTAGAGGAACCAGAATAAACAAAAATCCATTTTTTGCTATGGTTTCTTTTTTCATAGTTTTTTATTTGAAAAGCACTATTTCTATCCAAGTTCACCTAAATGCATCCTGATTTAACTACATTTGGAGTGTATAAATTAAAACATCTCCCTCTTTTCCTCCATGGAGACCAGATAAAAGTTTTGGTCAGGCTTTTAGATTCAGCACTATAGAACTTATGGCTGGCTATTGGGCACTCCAGACAAATTTTCCTGAGTCAATTCAGGATCTCCAATAACTTCTACTTGGGAAAACCATCAATGTGTGTGGGTCTGCACACTTATATAGATGGAGGATGGGTTTCGATCTCCCTGCAGCTGATTTCTAGCAAGGGAATGTGTTTGCTTCTCTTCCCCAGCACATAGTCTCAGAGCCCTATTAATCGCTGCATCAGAGCTTAGATGGCAGTAAGAGGAGGGGGAGATGGAGAGACTATTGTTGTGTTACCACTGATATTAGGAAAAAGAATAATAATTCTGATGTGGAAAGGATGTTAAATCCTCTGCTTTCCTTTCCCTAGAGCAGTCCTCGCTCAACCCAAATCTATTTTAACAGTCTCTTCACATCTGATGAGACAATCTATCTAGACTTTCAATATATATCCCCTTAGGAATTCTCAAATTTATATTTTTCAGGAATGTGTCCTCCAAAGTCTCAATGTAGATAATTGCAATACCTGAAGAATTCTGCCTGGCAGGCTTAGAAGTGATATCTGCAACCATTAATTGTTTTCACAATGTTGCTTCACACCAATCCTAATCAATGCCTTTCATTAACAAATAAAGCAAGCTAAAGCTACACAGGTGCTCAACAGGCATGAACAACTCATTGATCCTCTGATTAGGCAACTTTTTCCTGGATTTTTTTTTAAATTTTTTTGATGTCAAGAATAACCACCACTCATACAGAGAAAGTTTCCTAAAAAACCCCAAAGATCCAAAACAAATAAATAAGCAGCAAATATAGGGCACGTGCCATCTTAGCATAAAATGATTATCTGAAAAAGGGGGTAGACAAGGAGGAAAAGAAGAGAAAAAAGGAAAGAAATTAGTTATAAGCAGGAGTGAAATTAAGGAAAACACAGAGTTGAGATTTGAGTTTTATTTAGTTACATGAATTTAATTTGGGGACATACAGTAACTTTTCCCAAGCATGGAATAACTTCTAACTCAACACAACATGGTCTTAAAAGCCCATGTGATGACCCAGGGTGGGATACAAAATAAACACAGTCACAAAAACAGGTGAAACCCCTTTTATTCCTTCACTTTGCTTCAAAGCTCCAAATATCCTTGACTAGAGACAAAAAACTCAAACCACACTGAAGCAATTAAGGGAACCAGGCAAGATAAGGGCTTGAAGATGTCCACAGATATCGGAACACACATTGGGAAGGACGCCCAACTCAGAGAGGAACGACAGACTAGAGATATTTCCATGCTTTGTTTCCAGCATTGGCCCATACACATGTCCGTCCTTTTAACCAGTTCTCACAGCTGCAGCCCATGAAGAAGATGAAGGCCCTTTCCTCCCCCGTAGACCACGCCATTCACGTCTCTCCCTTATCCACTTCTCCCTGCCTGCTCTAGGATGGAGAGGGGATGGGCCTGGGTCTTCCTCTCACTGCCAGCTTATGCCCTTCCCCAGCCTCCTCCACAACCTCCGGAGCCAGACTTCCACTCCCTGTTGGCTGTTCCCCCTCTCCCTTGGAGTCAGTCTCCAACAGGGGCATGACAGCCCAATTTATTTAGAGCATCTAATCTTATATTCTATATAAATAAGCAAGAATTTTAGAATTTTCCTTTTAGTAAATCATTTTTCTATGATCAAATATCCTACAACTCAATACCACAGAATTTGAAGAGTTAAGATAAAATTACCATATAATACAGGATCAGGAAGGACAGATCATGCCAACTGGCGAAAAGTTTAATGTAATATGTTAACTTTCCAGAAAACCAAATTTAGGAAACCTAATAACCATGTTTTCCTATACAGGTAATCCTCAACTTACAATGATTTGTTTAGTAACCACTTGAAGTTACAATGGCACAAAAAGGTGACTTATGACCGGTTTACACATTTATGATCATTGCAGCACCCCTATAGTCATGTGAACAAAATTCAGATGCTTGACAACTGATTCATATTTATGATGATTGCAGTGTCCTGGATAATGTGATCAGCTTTTGTGACCTTCTAACAAGCAAGGTCAATGGAAAGCCACATTCACTTAACAACTGTTATGTTAATTTAACAACCCCAGTGATGCACTTAACAACTGTGGCAAGAAAGGTAATAAAATGGGACAAAACTGAATGAACAAATGTCTCACTTGCAACATAAATTCTGAAGTCAACTTTGGTCATAAGTTGAGGACTACCTGTATTTAGTATCAGTAACAATATAAGTGCTCTATATTTTGCAGACTGCATGAACAAAGATATTTAATAATTTACAAAAAACCAAGAGATTCTAATCTAAATCTCATTTTAAAAAGTAAAAAAAAAAGATAATGGAATTGTTTCCCATATATATGCAAATTTTGTTTATATATTTTTGTAACAAACCTATACACCCATAGTAAGTTTTCTCAGGTTTCTACTATAATGAAGATTTTGAAACAAGGCTATGGGTGTGTACTGATCGATACATATAGTATACACTCACACAACACACACACACACACACAGAGCTTTTGTGAACTGCCAAAAGAAGGATCTGTGGAGTCCTTGGTGCTCTCTGAACTTGGTTGTTTTGTCTCCTGGATAGTTCTTTGACTGGGATATATAAAATGGATCTGGAAGATTCTGTTTTGAAGAAAGCACTTTAGCAAAAGATGCAAGAGAGAGCAGAAAGCAGAAACTTACAAAAAAGTTGTGTAAGTGAAATTATCTATAAAGTAGCACTATATTTGATTCCACCATGCCCATAAAGCATTTCATATACTTACAAAAAAGTTGTGTCAGTGAAATTATCTATAAAGTAGCACTATATTTGATTCCACCATGCCCATAAAGCATTTCATATACTGCCTTTTATTCTTTAAACCAGTGGTTCCCAAACTTGTTCAGTCCACCCCCCCTACTTTGTCCTACAAACTCATCCTCGGTGCCCCCC